TGTTCCTTTTCTAACCTACGACTTTTTTGAGCCTAGTATAATCCATCGTTGCACTTACGCTATAATTTTATATCATCATCTTCTTTTTGTTTCATACAGATAATCTTGGAACATTCTGTATATATTAATTCATAAAATTTGTTATCTTCCTTACTTATAAACATAATATCAGGTCGCCTCCCCACTTTCTCATCTCCTCTTCTATCAGCACTGGCTACACTTTGTTGCTCAAAACTAAAAATAAATTATCTTTATTATATATTGATTTAGATCTAAAAGGCACCTCTTTAAAACTTTTTACTAAAATATTATATAAACTTACATAGTAATAAATACTGATTCCCCAAAATAATTATTAAATAGACAGGCATTAATTAATAGTACAATTATATTATTTACATAGGTACCTTTATTCATTATACCAATGAATTCAGAACGAAAAGCTGGATTATACCAAACAGATCTTAAGGTTTCCAAAATTTTTAACATGACTTCTTCAAGCTTATCTTTACTCTCTTTCCAGTCTTTTGCATGTGACAAATCATATAGCAAATTTGTTAAATTTTTAGATAAAAAATTGGATGCAAACCTTCTACACATATCTTCGATTCTTGGTATAGAAACAGGTTTCATCGATCTTATTGGTTTCTATTAAAAATAAATATTAGTCTTACTAGCTAATATATATTTACAAAACAAATATAAATAATGGAATTAGTGTCAAGACACATATATACCATAAATGCTTTTTTAAAATTTCCTGGTAATTTCTGAATAAGATCTGAATTATCTCTAATAATTTGATTAGCTAAAGAATCTTTCCAGGTCAATTCTTGAACTGATATTTTATCTACACCAGAATATAAATACTGATAAAGGAGCGAAGTATCTTTTCCGAGCTTTCTTTTTACTTCACTTATATTCTTTTTAATTTGGTCTGAAGTAAGTAGTTGTTCCTTATTTATTTTGATTGCCCCCATATCATAAAGATTATTAACCCCTTTGAAAGTATTATCAAACTATAAATGGATAAAATGTTAGATTTCAGAAATATATAAATTCTCATCATTAAAATAACATGGTTTATCAGTACATATGCAAAGTAAATATCTTTGTGTGGCCACTACGCCGATAAAACTTTGTGTGATATTTTTTAACTACATAATAACT